ATATATATATATATATATATATATATATATATATAGACAAGATTTTTTTATTTTATAACTTTAACTTTGATTTCTAGAAATGCCGCTTACTACAAGCAACAATTAGCTAATACTACTAAAAATCAAATAAGTGTTGGTCTTAGAGAAATTTAATAAGTTTTTAATTGGCCTTAATTCTTATAAGAATTACAGTTTTATTTACTTCAGTTAATACCTCAGAACAAACTGCTTTTGTTCCTGCTTGTACCTTTTTCTGAGAAGAATGTAATCATCGTTCTATTACATTTTCCTGGTATAACTGCGTCTACATTCCGCTCCATTATTTCCCCATCCTGACGTACAAAATTACCTTTCTCTTCACATAATGCTTCATGATAATTTTTTTCACAATAGAAACAAAATCAAGCAAAATTACAATCCTATATGAAATGTTGTGAGCGCAATCAATGAGCACAAAAAATTTGTTTACTTATTCTACACACTCTACTCACTATTGTCTTATAATTATCACACTTACTATGATAATGGACCTCTTTACAAAATATACGTAGGAATTTACAGTTTTTTTCATATTTTTCAGTAAGAATAGCAGTAATAGGTTCAGTAGGTTGAATAAAAGGTTTTTTCTCATTTCTGTACAAGTCCAATTTCTTTCAATTGCTTTACATTCTGTAATAAAGCAAACTCTTCTCCGTAAGATAATTAATTTATGTAATTCTTCTCCCCCTATAGTGACATTCCATTCTAAAGTTACCAATTTTGCTTCGTCCAGTTTCATTAAGATTTCTTTCGTATAAGGAGCGTCATAACAGGGTGATTGATGTAACTAATGCCTTCTTTGTAAGTATTCAATTTATTACATATTTCACTAATCATACTTAAAGTATTTCGCTGATTAATTAATTGATAGCTCACACGAAGTGCATCGTTTAGTTGCCAATATAAGTCTGTTTTAATAAGTGCACTCCAAATTCTAAAAGTACGGTGACCTTTACCTTTAGGATATGAGCTGCAATCAGGAAGCCTCACCAAAATGAAGAAAAAATTACGGTGTTCTGAAGAGAATTACTAGAAGAAATGTAATTCTCACACCAGAACAGTCCTTAGCTTCAAGCCTGACCAAGGTTGGAATTTGACTTGTGCCTTGGATTTATATGCTATAAGGAACAATGGAAATGGGTATTATATCATTGAAGTCGCAAATAAGTCACCGACACAGACTTTGTTTTCCTACTTCAATAGGTACAACTGTTGGTATCTGAAAATCCTTGAGTGGAATGTAGGATGACAAATTAACGAGTATGTTTCTCCCACATTGTAACTTACTGACGTATCCCTAAAGATTAGAAAATAATAACGAGAGTAGCAGAAATGAGAAATATTATACCTTTTTTGTGCTTAAATTTTGTTTTATAACATTCAAAAACAGACGGTAAAAGTGTTGCTACGCTTTAGTTTTGTTGTTAAACCGTCTGAATGCGTGGCAGTTTTGGACAGTAAAAAGGTTGCGTTATAGAACAAAAACACTTTTTCTGTTGTGATTAAACACAGTATATAATTTTTAATTTTTAATTTTTCATTTAATTTTTAATACAGTCACCAGTTCATCACTGTTGATGGCAACATAATGAGATTCAGCGAAGAGACACATGGGTAAAATTGTTTGGTTCAAGTATATTACATTTGCATTTCTTCTTTTTTTCGTTTCTTTCTTTGCAACAAAATAAAAACAGCTAGCAAAATAAATACAACAAAATAAAAATAAAAATGGAACATATGAAGAAATAGAAAAGGGACATATTTCCATTTTTTTTTCAATTAAATTACCAGTATAATCACAACAAATAAATTTATTGGTATCACCAATATATTTTACGTTGCTATTCTAAAACTAGCAACACCTTTTTGCCCCGTAAATGTCTCACTAGAACAGAATTTGAGACTCCACCAGTTATGTGGACAAAGAAAACCCGTTTTTCATTGTTCATTAATTGTTGTTAGTTGTTTCTTCAATTTCATTTTTTTCTAGCATTATTTTATGCTTTCTGTCAGCCGTTTTAGCAAGTTATTAATATGTGTCGCCTGTAAAGTATACAAAGGTTAGAACACTAACGAAAAAAAATTTATTGAGCAAATTGTATAAACAATAATGTTGCTTATTTTCTTGGCTTTTTTAAATCTTCTATTTACACCGAGATATACATATGTGAAATCAAAAAGTGCCATAACGCCGAATTAAAGAATTTCTGTTTGGACAAGTGTTCCTTTTTTTTTGTTTGTTTCATTATTATTTACCAAATAATTGAACTGACCTGAGAGGTTTTTATTGTAAAACTATGACCAAATGTTTCAGCATGAACATCGATGTAGGGCCTTCCCGGTTCCATTTCACACCGAAATGCTTTCAGCGGATACGTCTTGAATAGTGTTTTGCTGTTTGCATTGATCAAATGAAGACCATAGTCGTTGACACCGACATGGGCCAGTAAACTGCCCTTTACCGGCTGCAATAACCAAACAAAGCTGCTAATTTTTTAAGAATTTAGTAACAGACCGACTACTTCATATTTTCGCTTTTTACTTCAACATTAAAAAAAATTTAGAAGAAATTTTGTTTTGTTTCAAACAGTGAATACAGAATTCTAGCTTACCTTTTTCATAAATATAATTGCATCAAAAAATGTTGAACCGTAGACACAGAATCGCCAACAAATATGCAAAAAATCACTTTGTAAAGCAACTAAGTTTGTTGCTTTCTTTTTATGGTACTCCTTTTCGATAGCTCGTTTCATAACGCTTAGGCCAGATTCTGTTGTAGGTATACGATGGAACGGCATCAAAGATTCCATGATTTTTGAGCTAAAAAAATTTTTCTTTTTTTTTTTACACTTTAATGCTCATCTTATATGACATAGTTTTATCATTGTTTGCAAGTGAGTACACTGTTAGTCTAATAAGCTCACTTTAGTTCGTAGCTTTTGCCATGTATAATTTGCAGAATGATTGAGGCCAACTGAGCAACATCTTGGTCTGAACAAGGATATAAACCTTTCATGTAGTTTTGTTGCGCTTCTGAATACAAAAGTGACAGAGCATCAGGTGTCAATTTTGCCTTAAAAAAAAAAACAAGTAATACTCAGAACTAGTTAAGTTTTCTGAGCATCTTGGGAACATTTCCATAGTGTTGACACAAAAAACGTTGAGCAACAGCGTATGCCAGAAACTTTATGACATTGTTCACCAATCACGCTAATTATTACACTATCATCTGTGCTGCAGTGGCTTTGCGGACAAAACCCAAAAAGACTGGACTATGCACCAAAAACACTAAATCAATGCCTTAGATTAACGCCACCAAATGAACAAGGCGTTACAGCATTCAATTTGAAAACAAAAAATTGAAAAAATCTCCACTGGTAGGTTGTTAACTAAACAATAAAGTTGCGGTACCGCTTTTTCAGATGTTAGCGACACTCGAGCATCTCTTCTGAAATACAATTTAGGGATCTCTTCTTTTGTTTTGTAAGAATTATCACTCCCAAACTTCGCAACTTTCTGACTCCACTGTTTCATATGCAGTAGCGGTTTATGATGTTCTTTCAATTGCAAACCTGAAAATAAGATTTTTGAAAAATGTTCAAAACATGGCTGGAATTATTCATCTTTCTAAGAAATAAATGTGTTACTCAGTCTCTCGGAGCATATCCAAATAGCAAACAACGAGCCACTGGCTGCATTTAGTTTTAACTCTTTGCACATTGAATCGTGCAACTGTCCCGCTGTCGTTTCGTCACCTTTCACCAGTGACAACTGAGCATTTCCTCCATCCATTAACTCCACCTGGAAGAAAACACACCCTTTGAAACGACTAGCAAAAAAATGTAATCTTCTTTTCTTTTCTACTCGGAAAGTAAAGACGATTCTGTTTCTTCGTTCAATGAAATGATTTTTAATATGTATCTTGGAATTCTGGAAGGTACTTTTTTGTAGCGGTTCCATTTGTTAGTTCGTAATTATACGTTTTGAAGGAATAATAATTGAAAAACTGATAATCTTTCACGACAAAAAAACCCGCGAAACAAAGTGAGCTAATTTACAGCCAGTTTTACAGACTAATGAACATTTACTTTTTAGTTCACTTTACTCACTTACTTCTGAGACTTAAATAAATATATCTTAAAAAAACCTGAATTTTTTCAAGCGGTGTCCAATTCCTCAAAAGCTTCGCAACCTTCTGGTGTTCTTCCTTTGGTACACAGGCGCAAATATCCAAAGCTCTATAGCCTTTTGAATCTTTTATTTCCTGAACGTCGTAACAATTGCACTGTATTAGCAAAATAAAACCAAAAATTTAATTGACAACACTTCATGATGACTCCATGTTTATACATAGACTCCACTCCATTTTCTTTCCTCTCACTCCCTCACAATAAGCGATTTTCGCAGTTGATCGCAACAAAATGTTGTAAAAATTCGCTGTGACTAAACTACTTACCGTATCAATTGAAGAATGGGTTAATAGCAATTCCACCATATTCGGATGTGCTTGTAAAGCAGCAAAATGCAAGGGAGTTGAGCCGGCTTTATTCCGAAAGTTCACATCAGTCTTAGCACATACCAACAAAGCCTAACAACCACATTAATGACTATTTGAAAAAAATTCTTTATCACCTTGAAAAATAAACAATATCAAACCTCCATCGAACGTAAATTGTTGTAAAATGCACAGTAGTGGAGCGGTGTCCATGATGCATTGTCCAACTCGTTAGCATTCATTCCTTTGGCTAAGAGCCGCCTACAAAAATTTTTTTAAGCCTCAAATCTATCGTCACTAGACGTTAGCGCCGTGAATGACATCACATAAAAAGTTTTTTGAAAGAGAAAAAACATTTTAACAATTTGATTACGTGTAAGAAAGAAAAAGTAATCAAAAAGAAAACTTACTTTACTTCCTCAACATTATCGTCGTATGCTGCTTTGTGTAATGGATATCTTTCGGACCAGCTCTCATTTGGGCTCAGCTTGGAATAGTTGCCTTGCATTTCTGATCTTCCTTTCGCATAATATGTAGGAGCCTTAAAAAGAACACTCCATCAAACTGACCGATAAAGTTTATATAGCAAAAGAAAGATGTCTTTGCTGCAAACTACAAAACAAAAAAAGATTTACATTTGCTTTATTGTAGTAATCAAGACCGGAACCAAAAAGTGGATTCATAATGAACATATCATATTTTTCCATGCTCATCATTAACGCTCGTACAACATTACTCCTACAGGTTTCTTCACCCAAATCACATGACTGTGTTTGTCCAATATTTTTGCCATGTCCAAGAACCCTTAAAAAAGCATAAGCTACGGCACAACTAACTGGTAAAATTTCGACAAATCTAAATTTATTAACAAATGGCCACATACTTATGACACATCATAGATTGTTCCGGTTCATATGCCGGGTTGTGCACACAGGATTTTATCCTCTGTAGTGGTGGGGGCTTCAGTAAAGCATTTCGAAAAAAACGACTTTTTTTTTGCAAACCATCACCAAACCACCTGAAATGCTTTGCATAAATTATTATAACAGTTCAAAGGTAAAATTTTGAAAAAAAGCCTTAACGTCAAAACAAGTGATTCATCAGAAAGTAACTTCTTTTCATTTTTTTTTTCTTCTCCGTTGAACTTAATTATTTTAGTTACATTTCTTTTTGCAAAAATACTTTCTTTCATTGAGAACAGCGTTTTATGCAACAAATTTTTGCTAATTCTGAAACAGAATATTTTAGAAATATCAAGTGAATGTCAAAAGTATTTATAGACGGCTCACCAATACAAAATTTAATCATAAAAATGTGTTTGTTCAGTCATTTCCCAATCATTCTATTACTTATCTTTAAATAACTTTGATTATTTAAGTAAAATTTTCAAAACAGTATCTGTGTTAACAGAATCAATAACTATCACTGTTTTTTTTAATGAATACAAAAAGAACATGCTAAAAATAGGGATAAAAAGTCCCTCAGCGATTTTTTTACATGTTCACTTTTGAATCAAATGTACTGACTCTTCAAGTCGTAGCAACAGATGTTTAGTTTCGGCTTCTAACAAATCCCGCTGCTCGTTGTTGCAAAATTTTAGTAAACGGCCAACATTTTCAAAGCGAACAATGTCACTGGGTTTTGGATGGTTCTTTTCTGAAATAATAATGTTGAAAAAACCCACTCCAGAACATTTTCCACTTTAGTTCTTCCTCTCTCTTCCCCTCTCTCTTTTCCTATGTACACAGAAACTGTGAAATTAGAAGCACTGAAAAATGAGTTGAGTGGTAACTCTGAAAGAGTTTATAAAATTTAGAGCCAAATTAAATGAAGTGAACAAGATTAGTGAAGGTACAAGAGGGCGTAAAAATAATCCCATTTTTCAGTTACATATTCAAAGTTTTTATTACTTCAGATCCATGTACCTCTTCCCCTGTTCGCTCAAAAAGAAAAACCTTCCTGCTCACCGATAAACATTAGAAGTAGGCAAGCAAGCAAGCGAGCAAGCAAAAAAGCAACAAAATTATCTTCTTGTCGACTTCCAGCCCATCATCAAACACCATACCTTTTGCGGATTTACTCAACAGTCCATCATCGATGGTGAAAGATGAAGCCGTCGTAATTGTGATGATGTGTTGGCCAGCAATTTGATGATCAGCAAAACCATCATCAACACGCAGATTTGTAGGCTTTCTTTGCATCACCAACTAACAGTCTTTCTTCTGTTCTTTGTTGTTGTTGTTGTTGCTGTTGTTGTTGCTGCTGCTGTTGTTGTTGCTGTTGTTTCAAAGTAAACTCGATAGGACAGAAAAAAAAAGAGGAAATGAAAAAACTCGAGTGGAATTTGCAAAATGGGCGTAAGCGTGCAAATGAAAAGAGATTCTGCGGTTTCTAGCAAACGGCATTTAGGTTATCGGCGGTAGTAAACAGAGAGGGAGACAGAAGACGGGGACGGAGCCCGAGGACAAGGACGGGGATGGCGACAGGCAGGAGACGAGGGGGTTGGGGACTGGTGCTGCGAACAGGAGAAAAGATGGTAAAAACCAATACTGCGAAGAAAAAAGGTCCAAAGACAGTGTTCTGCGAGCAGCAAAATTTCTGCCATACGTTCCGTCAGTTTGAATTATTTTCGAAACTGAACAATTTGCACAAATAAAAAAACTAAGTCAGATAGAAGGAAAACTTTTTGTTTCTTTTCCGCTTCCTTTTTGGTTTCCTCAAGTAGACTAAATGATTGAGAAAAAGTTACTGTCTTTTTTTTTCTTCTTCTGTTTAGTTTGTGAATGGATATGGTAAGTTGAAAAAAGACAAACTGAAGTAACTCGTACTGCCGCTGCAGTTGCAGCAAAATTATTTGCAATAAAATGAAAAATGAAAGGGAAAAGAAAGTTACACGAATAGAAAAAAAATGAAGAAATAAAAACTGAAA